GACCGAATCTTGCTCCAAAGCAGGAGTTAAAGACAGTTCGCATTGTGTTACACTTTTTTTTAATGAATTAAAAGTTTAATTCTGAACTGTTTCTATAAGCATATTTCTTGAAGCATTGTATATAACAGGTCACAACTGTGGGATAAAAGCAACTTGTAAACTCCAAAACAAGGTTCAACCACTTACTGGTTTACCTTACTGTTCATATCTCCTATAGCATTTTTGTTAAAAAAAATGTGAGATAACTCCATCTGTTTATTGTGAGCATATTAAAAAAGGAATCTATTTGGAATGTTTCTATCTATCTGTACAAAAGGTTACATCTGCTATACTTTTTAAAGGACCCTAATATTTACATCTTCATGCTAACACAACTAAAAGCAAACTTTTTCTAAATTTTTATTGTAAGTCTTCTACTATCCAAAGAGGAATGCTGGCCATATACACACTCACTCGATGGAGGGAGAGAGGAGAGAGAGAGAGAGAGAGAGAGAGAGAGAGAGAGAGGGAGGGAGGGAGGGAGGGAGGGAGGGAGAGAGAGAGAGAGAGAGAGGGAGAGAGAGAGAGAGGGAGGGAGGGGGGGAGAGAGAGAGGGAGAGAGAGAGAGAGAGAGAGGGAGGGGGAGAGGGAGGAGAGAATGTGTGTGTGTATGTGTGTGTTTTATGAGTCTCTGACATCATATGTTACAGAGGTTCTCTACCCTGCCCATGAGTACTACAGTATCAGATACTCGGTGTTAAATGCTTGTTAGTTCAGTAAATGGATCAGGCTTTTCAACAACAATCCTAGTGCTGATTTGTATTTATTTCTTTTTATTTTTACATCCCGACTGCAGTTTCCTCTCCCTCTCCTCCTCCCAACCTTCCCCCCTCCCCCATGTCAGTTTCTCTTTAAAACACAGGGTCATTACTGTTCCACCTCCTCTTCCCACTGAACACTTAAGTCTTGTTGCTTGTTATTCAGTCTATCAGTGGTCTCCAGCTACCCACTTAAGTAGAGTTTTTAAAAATATCAGTCTAATAAATGCTTTTTGAAAAATAAGCAATATTGGATGTATATACCTGGAGTACAAAGAACATGGTTCCCTTGATAACCCGTGGACTGTTCCCCTCTCAACTTAGCGCCTACTCGTCATTCCTGGAGTCTGCCATGAAAATCAGAACACCCTTCCTTAACAAGGTGCCCAGAGGCAGCACCTCCACTAAGCAGGGCCCCTAACTGACCTCCCTGCTGCAGTGTGCCTAACACTGGTGAGGACAGAGCGGAAACTTTTACTCCTCCTTCCCCAGCATGCTCTGCTTTCCCAGCACTGTTAACAACAAAACTAAGCTTTGTGAGAGGAAGATATGCCTTTAGAACTAATAAGTAGCTAAGTATGTGAGTGCTGTGTTCGAGCAGAAAAGGAATGACTGTAGTAGTCATCTGTCCACATTAAGCACTATTGCCCCAACTCTGGGGTCACCTGACCCTTGGAATAGTCTTTGTCAGCTGACTAAAGATTCCATGTCCTGGAATCAGTTGCTTTTTCATGCCAGCAGCCTTTCTTCCAAGCTGTGCTTTAGAATTATGAACTTGCTAGCTGAGATATATATATATATAGTGAAAAGCTGGCATACACATGGCTTACAATCTGGGTAAGAGAGCAGGGAGCCTGTGCCAACTTAGGTCTAGAGTGTGCCACTGGTAGCCCTCTGCCCACCCCCCAGGGACTCCTTGGGAGCATGCTCTCAACATCAACCTCTGTAGGCCACAAGAACTCCTCTAGGAAGGGTTCAAAGAGAATGATGACTGCTCCTCTGTAGGTTCAGAAGACTTGAACTCGAGCTGTGGTGTGGATAGAATGTTTCTTCAGGAAAAGGATTAGTCATGTGTCCCAGAGAGGGAAAGGCCAGCCCAACCAACCCTACAGAGAATAGCGGTCACTGAACCAATGCTGTGCTTTCACAGCTGTGTCACGCTGTCTAGAAGTAGAGCAACTTATGGATGAAAGAGGTCTCACCTTAAAGTATTTTTAGTCATGTGTCACAGCATGATGATGCTGTAAGAGCCACCTGGTCCAAAACACACATGGCTGAGATGTGGTAGAGGCTAGTGGCTTCCCACAGATGATAGTCACCTCACTGGCCAACCAGCTCTAATTGCTCCCCAGTGGTAGCATTGTCATAGCCCAACAATGCGCCTTTGCCCGTGAACACATGGGCCCAATGGCTGGCACTGACATGGTCCCTCGTGCCACTGTCCTCAGTTCTGAGTCAGCCTCATTGTTCAGGGCTCCAGGAATGAGGCTTGTGTCCAGATATGAGACAATATGTGCTGTGTATTTGTCAGCAGTATTGTGGGTCATCATAATGTTAAAAGTTCTCTGCAGTGATTTTCCCAGGCTCTAACACTCAACCCTGTGAATAATTATTTACCCTCAGCCCAAATGCCAGCAAAAGTGTCTACAGTTTCAGACAACGCAGACTAAGAGCAATGAAACCATTCCCAACCCAAAGCAACCCTCACAACATTGGCTAGAGATGGTCACATGTCTACTGTGTCGATGAGTCTCCCCAAACCATTGTGGTAAATATTTAACGACTGAGGAAGTAATTTTAATTGGTAACAGTTAGAAATTAGAAATAAACTACAGATGCTTTCAAGATTAGAAAGATTGTTTTGGATTTGTTCTGACAGCTTGCAGTCAGTCTGGTGGCCAAGTACAGTAGAGAACCATCTAAGGGCACATGGGTGTGTATGATGGGCTGAATGTGATGGGAAGATTATCTTTTATAAACCATACTTTTACAGAAAAGTCCTGGATCTATCCTATGTGTTTTGAAGGGTATCATATGTTTCCTTGCTTCAGAATTAACAAAAGTCATCAATAGCTCTCCCTGATAGTTTATAAGGGTTAGCTGATAGACTATATACCATACCAGCATACCAGAATGGTAAAAAACAAACAAACAAACAAACAAAAACCAATCATTTGAAAACCAGATTCGTGTGTTGTATCTGCCTTATGCTTTGGACTGCAAGTAATAGGAAGGAGATTTCCAAATGGCTTTATGAAATACAGATTTAGTTCTAAATGCAAGAAGTCTGAGCAAGGGTAATTGAAACTTGATTTTGTTCTCCAGCGCGACCATGTCCAGAGCCACTGTTTCGCTCTCGTTTGTGTTCTCAGGGCCTCAAAGTGCCTGCTGCATTTTCAAACATGTCCTATTAGCAAAGAAACCTCTTCTCAACCCGCAACAGACCCCACATTACATTGGCTAGAATTGGCCAAATGCGTAGCCTAATCAATCTCTGCTAAGAGAAACAGGGATTCTAAAACTGACTTAGACACTCTAGATTGCTCTTCAAAGTACAGATAAGGTGTTTGAGTCTCTTAGGATAAGCTATTGGAACATCCTGTACAAAGGACTCTTAATATAACGGAGGGAGGTACTCGACCCTCGATCAGACAACCCACCAGTGGATCAACTAGTGAAGCAAGGGGGGAGGGTAAAGGCAAACCAGTTATGAAAATCTCCGTTATCCAACTTGGCTGATGAAATGCAAATTACTCCCTCTAAATTAGGGCTGTTAGATTGGCTGTGGCCATGGAGGCATCCCATCAAGGGAAGATATCAGAGGAACAGGATCCAGCCTGGGGATGAACACAGACAAACTCCCGAGGGAAGAGTATGCTAAGGGTCCGGAGGAGAGAGTAGGAAGTACCCGGTAGAGTAGGTGGAGGGCAGCAGTAACGAAGCCCTGCGGGCCACGTGACCCCTGGCGGAGACTCAGCAGGGGGTCCAGGGGCAGAGCACCACGAGGGAGTCAGTTGGATCAGTAACCAAACAAAGAGTGACAGTATGCATTGAAACTGGGGACACTACACGTAGAGATGCTGCTTACAGTCTCAACTGTAACGAGGGGTTCACCCACAATGGAATCTCCTTGGCTCCCGCTGTCAAGTCCTTTCAGTCAACCTTATTAAGTAATCATGTGCCAAAAATGCTCCTGTTTTCCTATCAGATTGGAGTTTAAAGGGGTTTTTGTTTGTTTTGTGTCTATGTTGACAAAAACCTCTCTCCTTTGGGCATCTGCGTGACGTCTGTGGATACGAGGAGTCAAGCATGCTGAAGATCAGGGTTGGTAGTTGGCACGCACAGTTGGGTGAATCCTTCTGTCTCCTAGGGTGGCTGGAATTACTAGAAGGTTGGTAGTGGAGGTACACCTAGAAGGCATCCTTCTGATGCGATAAGAAAGATGATCACAGAGCAGGAAGTGGTCAGGACCAGGGGCTTGAGTCCTGCTGCAGGAGCCAAGGCATCTGGTCCAGATGTGGAGGGTGAGTTAGCTTGAAGACACTAGCAGACTTCAGGGATGAGAGCCAACAGGACTTGGAAAATGACTGGTTAGATAGACCTGAGGCAGTGCCAAGGACATATAGCTGTTCTGTCTCCCATCCGTGAAATAGTTCCCAAGCGGGAACCAGATCCTCCTAAGATCCTGGTGTGGCCTGAGTCGTATTTTCCATGACCTCATTCTGGGACAGTGATGAAAAGCAAATGGTCTTCAAAAGCGAGTAGCAAGAGTTGTGTTAGCCCCTTTACAGAGCACTTGGAAGGACACCCAGATAACTCCAGCCTGCTTTACCAGTGGTTGCATCCGTTACTTTTCACATTGCTGTGAGAAAGAAGAAGGAACAAGGGAGGGGGGGCTTTATTTTGATTGATACTTTAAGGAGGAATGCAGGAGGAACGTTAGAGAGCCGGTAACATTCCATCACAGGTGGCAGAGAGACAACAGGAAGTGTGGCCAGGCTGTACAAGTTCAAGGCCCACCTCCAGTGACGTACTTCTAGTAAGAGGCTTTACCTCATACACTTTCCAGAACCTTCTAGAACAGGCCACCAGCTGGGGACATTTGACGCTCACATCATAACAGGTTAATGTCATCAGTGAAACTGCTGCCCTAACTGTTGTTTCTCTCTGTCTCTCTCTCTCTCTCTTTTTCCCTAATGGAAGTATATTCGGTGCTCTTCGAACTGGTGCTTACATGGTGTCCATTTTGATGACCAAAGGCCTGAAGCAGTCAGTTTGTGACCAGAGTTTTTACATTGGACCTGTCAGCAAATTCTGGGCTTATGCATTTGTACTCAGCAAAGCACCCGAACTAGGTGAGTGTCTCTCCCTCCCTTCCACCACCCCCGTGGCAGCCTCACATCCACAGGGCTTACTAAGAATGAACAAAGAAACACTCAATGTGCAGGACTGCCTTTGCTAGCCACTGAAAAGCTAGAATGAGTGAACTTAGAAGATTCTGACTGACTGTCCCATCCCTCTGCTCCCTCCTTTTTCAGTAACTGTGTATTATGTATATTGACAGAAAACACATTTTCCAATGCAGTTTCCTAACACTAACTAAAAATAAGCCACTCTCAGGGATTTATAGAATACCACACAGCCTCCTTTCTAAGGTCCATTACAGCTGAGCTAATATTAAAATAGGAGAAAAAAAATGAGCAACATAGCAATTCCCAAGTCACAGAGATAAGCAGATTTTGATCTTGAGTTAGGATTCAGATTGGGAAATTAAGCTTCGCTTCTGGGGTTTGTGTTCTCATTAACAAATGCCAACAGTTGAGTTCTGCTATTTGAATTTCTTCATCACCACACCTGACCCTGGAGAAAGTGAGCGTAGGGCACCTGCCAGAAATTAATGGAAATTCTTGCTCGGCTATACATTTCTTTGCTCTGTTTTGATGATCCTGGAAGTAAGGGTGGCATAGGTTTCCAGAAGCATGGGCAGTGGCAAGGATTTGGTACGGGCACTGTTCTCTGGGAACGTGTTCATATTGCCAGAGTAAGGGATCCATTGGTGATAGTGGGCTTTGAGTGAATCCTCAAAAACAGCCATGACCTCAAAAAACTGCTAAATATATGCTTGAGGAAGACAGGTCACCTCCTCTCTGAAATTCCTAGTATTTCTTTTCTTTTTTTTTTTTTTTGTTTGTTTGTTTGTTTGTTTTACAAGACAGGGTTTCTCTGTATTGTTTTGGAGGCTGTTGGTCCAGCCTGGCCTCGAACTCACAGAGATCCACCTGCCTCTGCCTCCCGAGTGCTGGGATTAAAGGCGTGCGCCACCACCGCCCGGCTGAAATTCCTAGTATTTCTAGCCTGGGATTAATAACTATATGGCCTTAGTTCAAATATCTGAATTGAGCAGTTAAAAGGGTACATTTGTTCATCGTTTAATCTTCCTTAAAAATAGGTGACAGATCCTGGTGGTGGTATCACATGCCTTTAATCCCCGCAGAGACAGGCAAATCTTTGAGTTCAAGGCCAGCCTAGTCTACAGAGTGAGTTCTAGAATAGCCAGGGCTACACAGAGAAACCCTGTCTCGGGAAAAACAAGGCAGGGGTGACAGATTGGAGATTCACCACAGGACTTCTACAGTCTGTGTGAATTCATGGTCACGTGTCCATGAGTTCTCCCCAGTGTGTTGGGGAGTGGCTGAGCCATTTGCCACAATGTACTGTTAAGTCTGCTGCCTGCAAGAGGCTGGTGGTGGGATTGATGGTTGCCGTCCTAGGTCAGGGACTAAGGAAGGGTAGCAACAAAACTCTACAAACCTTTCTGTTAGGATCAAAACCCGGGTCTCTACACGATCCAGAATGAATGGTGTGTGTTCACATGGCAGGCGCATACACACATGACACTATGAACATAAACTCAGAATAAAATGCATTCATATAGATTTAGTCAGTCAACGAATTTATTAGAATGCAAAGCTACTTGACACAGAATTTTACAATATGAAGACTGCAGACCAGGCCTCAGGTAATACTGTGTGTGTGTGTGTGTGTGTGTGTGTACACATTTGGTGTGTGAACACAGGTGTACACGTACTGTAACGTGCATTGGGAGGGTGAAGGAGGTCAACTTTGGGTGTTGAGCCCTTCCCATATGAGAGAGGTCTCTGGTGTTTTTCTAGTGTGCACATCATGCTAGTTGCCCCCAAGCTTTTCTCCACCACTTCCCTTAGATAGTTGCTCAACACATCCAGCTTTTTTATGAGTTCTCAGATTTCAGATGTAGGTCCGCACAATTCTTGTTGAATTTGCTTACATAGACTAACATATAGCAAAAGACTGTCACTTCTCTAATGGTGACACATTCTTCATACAGTTCCAGATCCTTCATAGGAGTATATTAAGACAAGCTCTCTTAATTAAAAAAAATATGGAACAATGTCTCCAAATACTCTACAACTTGTATAACAGTGTCCTTGAAGGGGTCAACTACTGAGTGTCACAGGTCTAAAAATCCAAGCTGGTGTCCCCAAAACCAGCCTCGGCACTTATTTAAAGTGTGTTTGCCTGTGAGTTCTGAAGGTTAAATTAACTTATAATCTTTTGGAACTAGGGAGTTTTGTCATTATCATTTGAGTAAGAGATTTATGGAATCCTTTATGAATACCAAAGAGAAAGATCATGTGGGAATGTGTGCACATGCATGTATGTATGTGCGCATACCACACACACACACACACACACCATATACTACAACAGTGAAACTATTTGAAATCCCCCCAAAAGCATAGACCTATAGTTTTCACCACTCTCTTCTTTTCCCCTGGCAGTCAAATAGGCATAATATTCACATTATGATGTAGCCATCCCGCCATCTATTTCGGGAACTTTTCTAACTCCCCCAGCTAAAGCTGTACTCACTCACCACTGACTTTGCCTCACTACACTCTTAATGATGGCAATAAGGGCTCTCTGTTTCAGCGGTGAACTCAATGGATTTAAAGGACTCCACTCTACTGGAACAAGTGAGAGCAAGAGAGCTGCCCCTCTACTTTGTGTGCCAAATTGCCAGTGCCTACGGTTTGAATTCTATTAAAACCTGCTGAGATTTGCTTTTGTTAAGACTTGGAAACATCTGCTCCGCATCTAGGCCCTTGCTCAGTTGAGCTTGTCATTGTTCCGAGGGCCCTGACTCAGCAGCATGGCAGCTAACTCTGATAAGAGGAGCTCAGCCATCTGTGACAAGCCACACACACACAGAGTTGGCTCAACATGGCTTTTGGTGGCAGTGATTGCCCTGGAAAGAGAAGTGCTGATTGACTTCTCCATAGGCACACAGAGATCTTGGGTAGAAGAAACACCATATCTTGTCTGCTAGCTGTCTCTTGGTTGCAAATAGCCAGGCCAAGGGTTTTAGGGGTCACCAAAAACAGGAACATGAGTCAGAGGGGAACAAAAATACTACCAAAGCAGAGACACCTTCAAGAGCTCATAGTGCTCTTCTCTTATAGTTGGCTAGCATCAGTTCCATAAGTACCAAGGGATATTTGCTCAAGAAGATTGGCTGGCAGCATCGATTGTATCACAGCTCTTTTCGGTAGCATAATCCTCCATAGCTTCTGCCACACCTACAAATTCCACGATTCGGCGTGACTTGGGAAAATGGGGAAAGATGATGATAGACAGAACAACCATATTTATATCAGAAAGCATGGCCATGTCACTATATGGCAATAGCAAGGCCATGGAGGTCAAGCTCTTCTATAACCCAAACATAGTATTTTATGGGAAACCACCACTTCTGGGGACAATAACCCTGATATGGCCTCGAGGAGAGCTGCTGAGAACCCTTCACCCTCTACCATCCTGAGCATGAGTTCCGAAAAAGACTCAGTGTAAATCCAGGTGGATTTTGTTTTCAAGATTTCATGACAGATTGGTCTCCCTTACTCACCTTGCCCCGAAAGTAGCTAGACCTCCTGAGACACTCGAACATAACACACCCTCTCTCCAGACAGAGAAAGCAGGTACTTCAGTACCTCAGGTCCTGCTTCCACTTCCATGCTGTGTCTGTCTTGGTAGACAAGATGGCCTTCGTGTAAGCATGCTGGCAGAATGCCACTGAAGAGTCACATAGGATGAAGTGACCATTACTGTGTGGCAGATTGCTTTCATAACAGTTGGACATTGTATCACGTGGATTTTTTTTTTATGAAGGTTGAGACTCAATAAAAATCTGTATTAGGACTGGCTAAATTTGTGTGGAACATGAAATTCCTTAGACCTCTCCCTTCTTTCCACTACTAACAAAGGTAGGGTAGAATGTTTGTGTCTTACATTATAGTTCAAAGAGGGAAGGAAGGCACAGAGCAGTAATTATACAGACAGGCAGGCCAAAATGTATAGTTCAATACGAAGTAAAATTTGACCCTTAAGTATACACCTGAGAGTGACCATTGCCATCTGTCATTTCAGCCTGCCTGACATTTATAGGTATAATAAAAGCCAGCATCGCACAAGAAAGCAGAAGATTTCAATGGGAGTTTCATAATAGGTCGAGAAATGTTGCCACTGGCAACTTTGCTTTCTGTTCTAAACAAATATGAAGTAATTGGGTTTAATAATTCAGTAGGGAAATAAAGTAATAGCTCCTGGTAAATGTAACGGGACACTACCTATACCAGAAACTCTAGACCATCTGCCAAGTACATGGGGGTTGATATTGGTGTGCGCTTGTTCCATTTGTCTGTGATGAAATCTTAGGAGAGAACAAATTTCCAGTTCCTATTGGTATTAAAAACGTAGCCATGTTTGTGAGAGATGTTTTAAGTGTGTTGTACATGTGCACATTCATGTTGATGTATGAGTGGGTGCAGAGGTACGTTCGTGTGCATGTGTTGACCAGAAGTCAACTTCAGGTGTATTTCTCAACCACTCTCCATGTTTTGAGACGGGATTCCAGTAAGCCAGTGAGCTCCAGGGACCAGCCTTTCTTTTTCCCCAGCTGGGATAACAGGCACCTACTAACAAGCCCAGCTTTTTACAAAGGTGCTAGGGATCCAAACTCAAGTCTTCATGCTTGTACTGTAAACAGTTTACTGATTGAGCCATTACCTGTGTGAATCTGTTACAACTCTCTTTTTTATCCAGTCCCCCCCCCAATAAATGTTCTATGTAGTATATTTCTCAAGACATGGCAGATAGACAACACCTAGCTACCTGAGCACAGCTCTAGCTTTTATATAAATTGCCTACTTCAAACCAATGTTATATATTTCTTAGTATCATAGAGAGTTGTTACGGAAAAAGTTGACATATTCTGGACATAGTCATGTCATAAAGTTAAGTCTTGTTTTCAGGTTGCACTCCCTTGGTTCATTGAGATAAATGATTGCCTTTATTCTCATCAGCCAACGTGTTTCGACGATGGCTTTTGTTTCCATCTTACGCAGAGTACTGTTTAGTTTGGTTTTTCTTTTTCTGGTCTCTGTTTTGGTTTGGTTTAACTTCTTGGTGGTACTGGAGAATCAGACACAGTGCCTTGCCAGTTTTAGTCCAAATCTCTGCTACCACAGAGCTACATTTCCCATCCTGAATTGTGTTCTCATTTACACAGACTCTGAATTTTGTAGAGAGATCACAAGGCCCACATTTGAGGGTTGTATTTTTTTTTTAATCTATATACGTTATTATGGTTCACTATCGAGAGATGCCAAAGAGCATTTTGTTGGGCACTTGAGTTTGCACCCCAGTGAAAGTCACACTTGCTCCGAGACCAGTCACCTATCCTCTTTTGGTCATGTTTCCACTCTTGTATGGTTGGGTCTGGCTGCCATTGTCCGTGTCAGGTCAGAAAATAGTAAGGTTTTCTGTCGAATGTCTTGAAAAGTAGCCTTTCTTGCTCGTTGAAGATTTCTACCCTGCTCCTCCCAGAGCCAGCGCTGGGCCTCACACAGCTTTGTTGCATCTTTGTCTTCCAGGAGATACGATATTCATCATTCTGAGGAAGCAGAAGCTGATCTTCCTGCACTGGTACCACCACATCACTGTGCTGCTGTACTCGTGGTACTCCTACAAAGACATGGTGGCTGGGGGCGGTTGGTTCATGACTATGAACTATGGCGTGCACGCCGTCATGTACTCTTACTATGCCTTGCGGGCTGCGGGCTTCCGCGTCTCCCGGAAGTTTGCCATGTTCATCACCTTATCCCAGATCACTCAGATGATGATGGGCTGTATCATTAACTACCTGGTCTTCAACTGGATGCAGCATGACAATGACCAGTGTTACTCCCACTTTCAGAACATCTTCTGGTCCTCACTCATGTACCTCAGCTACCTTGTGCTCTTCTGCCATTTCTTCTTTGAGGCCTACATCGGCAAAGTGAAGAAGACGGTGAAGGCTGAATAGTGTCGGAGCTGAGGAGGAAGACATAGCTCAGGGTCACCACGAAAAATAATAGACAAAAGAAAATGGCACAAGGAATCACACATGGTGCAGCTAAAACAAAACAAAACAAAACATATGTATGAGCAGACACAAAACCCGAGGCAGCTTGGGAGTAATGATTAGCTTGACTTAACCCAGTAAGTTTATGATCCTTTTGGGTGAGGACTCACTGAGCGCGTCTCCATCTCAAAGTAGTATTGCTGCTGAGGGACCCCTTCCCTCTTACCTGTCAACTCTAGAACACCCTTGACCCAAAGGGAGCCACAGGCAGAGAGATTAATGGAAAACAAGCAAAACACTATGGAAAGAGGTGGAAATCGATTCAGCGTTTTTTTTCTCTTAAGGATAAAGGCGTTCCCCTTTTCAAACTATGCGAGCACGCACACACACACACACACACACACACACACACACACACACAGACACAATCCTTTGTATCTTTTCAACATGAAACCAGAGCTGGTAGAAAAGATAAACATGGAAGAGACACAGGGTTTCGCAATGCTTTTGCGAAAATCAAGACCTTCTAAAGAAAGGTTAGCTAGTAGCCCCTTGATAAAAGATGTCTTAATTATTTTTACTGCAGCTGAAATTAAAAAGATAGATATTTTCCCCTTCACCACACAGCCTCAGGCTACTGAGTTTGCTACAACCAAACAGAGGACAGTACTACGTGATACTTTATTTCTGGGACAGTGGAAACCATGCATCCCAAATCCCAAGAAGGTGGTCCCACGGCAGAGCTGAGCGTCACCCTGACAACTGTTATTTCTGCTCTTTGGTGAGGTTTGAAGCACCCTTTGTTCGGTTGCCCAGGGCTTTAGGACAGAAGAGGAAATGCAGAATTGAAGGATACAAGCTCACCCAGTTGACTTGGAAATGGAATCTTGTACTATGTGTAATGAAACTCAGCCAATCACCACTGAGCTGGAAAAGGGGGAAGGACCATGGGAAGAGACGGGAGCTGAAGATTCATCCAGGAGACAGATAATACGTGCTCCTCCCCTCCTCGTTTGACTTCACGCATACTCCTGGCTTTCCAGATGAGGCCCCGTGTGACACGGTCCCGTGCTTTCTATGTTTCTGTGACTTTTCAAAAACAGATCTGTGGGGCTCTGCCTGATTTGGGGTAAACACTGTGTGTCTGCATCTTCTGCATTTGCTCCCTTAGCAATGCAGAGGTGTATGAAGTGCCCTCTGCTGGCCAAGTGAGAAACTTCGACAAACACACTTCATAATAGATTGAAAGTAGTTGACCACAAAGGGCCTGTGTAGATTAATCCCTAAGTTTTAAGTGCTGTCAAACACCTGTCATACATTTGACCAAATCAGAAAAGAACCTCTCTACTTCAAGTAAGCTTCATCAGTTTTTAAAGTGACTTTCACTTGGGAACTCGGAAAGTCAGTGTATTAAGAGCCATATTTAAAAAGAAAGAAAGAAAAAGAAAAGGAGAAAGTTAGACAATGTTATCTGTAATATTTCAGTCCTCTACAAGCCAAATAAATATGTCGATGTTCCTAATATTTCAAAGACGCAATTATGTAAAGTTGTTCAATGTGATATAATAGTATTCTAATTGGTTAAGTAGCTTAATGATTAGGCAAACTAGATGAACAATTAGAGGCTACTACACTGCGTAGATTATACACTCATGACCACGTACGCACAGAAGTATGAGGTACACGGAGCTGTAAAGCCCAAACGAATAGTATCACAATTTTTGGCTAGCAGAAACTTTCACTTAGCTTCCTTTACTTGAGACTGTACAGTAAAAGGGATTTTTTTCAAATTATTTTTATATTATTTTAGCTTTAATTGTGCTGTCATTCATGAAACAGCTGCGTAGCCTTTTTGTGAGATGGCGTGGGTGTTTTCAGCGGCTTGTTGATGTGTGGAATTAGGAAAGAATAAAATTTGATTCCATTCTGTGTGAATGGGTTAAAGAGTGAACAAAGAATCCGTGTAGGTCAAGACGTGACTGTAGGAGGAGGCTAATAGTCACACTGGGCTGGGGGCAGGTATTACACCCACGTTAACATTGTGTGGTGGCTTCATGTTGACTGACAGATGAGATCTGATTGGAAGGATGCATTGCTACTGGGGCAGAAGGTATAGAGTCGCTACGTCAGGTGGAGTTTTGGGATGTAATTGTTTGAGCTTTGTCAGTGCACAGTAGTGTACAATAATAAGCCTTTCCCTTGCCTTATAGAAGAAAGTGAGCAAAATAATGAAAATGAAGACGAGGTTACCTGTCGGCTGACTTGAATCTAATCAGGGCAGCCTGAGGGTCATCTGGTTGGTTCAGTTTAATTCAGATATTTATCGTAGAATACAGGTTACAATATGGAAATAAGCATAAACTTAAAAAGACTAAGCTATGCTTCCAAAGCACTTTAATCTTCATGTTCGCTTCATGCTTGTAAAATAACTTAGAGTTTTTGTTTGAAGGATAAATATCTAATAAATAGTTTCTAAACCAGCTAAATATATCTAAAGGCATTTCCAGTGTTCATCATGGGAAGAAAAAGCCACATTAAAAAAAAAAAAAACAATTCTGATATAGGCTCAGCACACTGTTTTTTAACATATCAGCTTAGCTGCTTTAAGTCTATCGATATACGAGGCTGGATCACTGGCCTATGACACATCTGAAACCTGCCAGAGAATTGACTGCCACGTAGATAATGTTGCTGTCAGTTAACATTCCGGGCAAGCCAGTTTTTTAGCTGCCCCACTATGCTGCAATAGATTATCTTTCTATTGAAGATTTCTCACTGCATTCCAATCCCAGTGTGGTTAAAAACATTATTCCTGGTTTAAATGAAACTAATCCTTGGCTTCATATAAATGTGGTTTCCTACACTAGGTGTGAGCATCAACTCAAATGTGTGAGTTTGCAATGAAATTCTAGTGAGAAACACTTAGCAGTAGATTTTATCTGGACCTTCTAGTGTCACTTATGAGAAAAGAACAACTATTACTATTATTTATTGATCGTATTTATATCCGATGCCAGGCCAAAGTATTGAATTAAAAATCACAGTTCTCAAGGTTATTATTTCAGGCAGTCCATGTCATCTCATTTACCCCCACCTCAAAGTTTTCTAATCCTACTTCATAACAGAAATTTGAGGCTAGAGGGAAAATGCATATGTATTGCTTCAGGAGGAAGCAGGTTTGTTTTGTCTCTAGCAGTCTTTATCAATGTGATGAGACCGACTAATCACTAGTAATGCTGAAGCTTCATGTGGTGGAAAGTCTACAGGAGCCTAGGTGAACTCTTCCAGGATACTCACAGATTGTTTTGTTATTGTTTGTTTTAGGTCAATTATATCTTCATGATGAGATAAGTCCTGTCACAGTAGAGTGAAAAGCACTATGACACTGGGGTAGAATGTTCTGGAAGTCTGGCTATATTCCCAAACTGCTCAATTATCTGGGAATATCTGGTTACTATCTTGTCCTAATAGAAGGAGCTCTTACTCCACAAGAATGCCAGATACAGACACAAGTGAGCCCTAGTGCATGCTGAGAATCTTTTCCGGGGAGGTATGATGATCCTTGAATTAGCATGGGACTTCGCAAGTTTCAAGGGAGTTCCTAGGAGAATGGAGCAGACCAAATCAGACTCCACCCCTGGAGTTCTGAGCTTTGAGTTGCAAGTTCAGGATCCTTGTGTAGCACATTTCCTTGGGAAAGATGTCAGTTCTGGAGAGCAACAGTGTGAGAATATCATGATAGCCCAGAACTTTCTAGCTTTCAAATGTGTGTCTTTTTCTGGTCTTTGTTCTGATAATAAATATTCTGCTATCAGTTTGGGACAATTGTAGAGCCTGTGGTCGTGTGAATCATTGTCTTACACAGCTTGATGTTATTCTGTTCCTGTTCTTAGGTATAGCACCCATTGCCTGGTGCCCGAGGTCCCTGCCATCAGAAAGTTATCTGGGTGAGAATTTACAATATATGCTCTGTCACTTCTGTGTATTAAAGTGACAAGAAATAAAACAAGGATGCCCTGTTTTGTTCAGACACTCAAAATGAAGCTTTACATCCTAGTTGGTCATTGAGCCAATGTCCTCTGTAGCTGATAGTGACAGAGACTAGATGCTGGTGCCTATACGGAATTCTCAGTGCCTGTTGAGACAGACGAATGAGCCATCAGTGAATCCACGGCTGCAAAGGCCAGTTAAAGTCCACCCACTCAGAGTATCACAAAATACACAGAAGCCTCTTGTATAACCCAGTACTCTTAAGACTCTGAAGAGTTGGGCTTTGATACCCAGGCTTCCATTTTTTCATTCTTAAAATTCGTTAGGATGGATACAGAGGGGGCCACCTGGGTGTTTTGGGAGTCTTGGAAACTACTTTGATTACAGGTCAAACAGAGTCAAACTCGGATGTTTCTCTGTCACGCCAGATGCCAACACCCACCCACAGAACAACTGCATTGTAGTCAAGCTCTCCTGGCATAGCTTGCTGACTGGTCCCTCAGATCAAGATATGACCATATTTGTAATGCAGTTTAGATACATCAGAACAGTCCTATCTCTCACTGGCACCTAAATAGTATTTTCCCAATGCTTGGTGGTAGACAAAGATCCAGCTGTAGCCTGACAGTGCCTCCTACTAATGTGAACGTGTTGTTTCAGTTAAGTATGGGTCTGAGTGTGATTGGGTTGGACTTCACTCCTTGCTACCCTGAAAATGATTGGCTTTCTGCTTCCTAGGCCCTAAACCCATATTCAGAAGGAAACTCACTCTCAAGCCTCACAGCAAATCACAGCAATGTTGGAGCTCTTATTTTCAAGTGCTTACTTCACAACATTAAAAAAAAATATTTTTGGTGTATTAAGATTTAAAATAAAGTCATCATAACTTTTGATTTAAAGCTGTTTCTAGTTTTTGTTTCTAATTTCTGGTCTGGAGCAGTTAAAAAAAAAATATGAGACACTGTAGGCTAACCAGAATTTTCTGGAAAGTCATTCCTGTATCCATGTATTGATATGATACCAAAATGACTGAAACCTCCCTTGTGTTCCCTGACAGCCTGGCCATGGCATGCAAGGACTATGCACACATGGATGTCAGTTTTGCAAGGTGCCCAGCTCCTCTGGATGGCCTTTTGTGGTTACATCCTACACATGACATGGTTCCCACACCTCTTGGTTCTTCATGTAGTCTTAATGAAACAGATGAAACGGACTCCCAGGACCACTGTGGTGAAGGTGGGAATGAAGTTAGAATCCTCTTAAACACTTCAGTTTTGCTATGGCCATTCATTCAATTGAAAAGTCACAGGTAAATTTATAAAATAAAAAGCTTTATTCATTTTACTTGCGACTGAGCTTAGTCCTGTCGAAAGACAAACTGTTCCTTGACAATACACATTGAAGAAAACATTTGGAAATGGTAGCATGTCCTTAGTCAAGCCTCAGTGTCACATGCCAAGTATTGGTGGGGCCGTCTAGGTCAGCCACTCCGACCCTCACATGATCTAACCTTGAAGTTTCAGTGGTCAAGCCACTTCCCATGCTGCTTTGAAGTTCAGTGGTTCATGTCATTCTTCATGGCTCTTTGGAGCCTCACTGGGAGGCATTTATGTTTAAAACCCAAAAAGCTGACCTCTGGAGGTTTTCCACAGCCGGTTGATGCTGTTGTAATTTTGAAAAGTGGTCCGTGAAAGAAACACCATGCAACAGAGCTTGGGTGAAAGGGGTTTTGTTGCTGTTTTTATAGTAGAAAAGGGGAGAGGGGAGACCAGCCTCTGCAGACAGGAGCAACAGAAGGGGGGAGCAGGGAAGCAGAGAGAAAAAAAGGGAGGTGGGCAGGGCCCTTACAGAAGGGAATATAGTGTCCGTGCAAAGGAGGCTGCAGCTGAAGGCATATCCTGTCAAAACCCCAAGGACAGGCCAGCACAGATGCCTGGGCACTTATTTGCCCCTTCACCTTCTCTCTGAATGTATCATTAAGATTACACTCCTGTTATCATCTGATTGATGTATTTTCTTAATTCAAAGATAATGGAGGAGAAACCCATACTGTAGAAAGTATTAGTATCAAAAGGGGGTTGAGTAGGAAACCTAATATAAACTTCTCATAGTTTCTATTCTGGTGTTTCTTAAGGAATGAATACTAAGACAAAATCTACAAGCTTGCACTACCACTGTCTACCTAAAAATACTGCAGTGGGTTTAATACTAAGGAGTAGCATAAGCAGGCTTCCTATTAAAGAAAGAAGTCACAACATCAATGTTACCATAGCTGAGGTGGGTTCGGGTATTGCTTCAGAACTTTAATTTGGAATCCACAGTAGACATCCTATATCAAGTCAGATCAGTTAAAATAACCAAAATGACTCCCCAGTGGCCTGTTGTGTCTGGTATCCTCAGGTTTCATAGAAATGTACTGGAGCTTCAGGAATTTCTGAAAGTGCCTGACACCAAATTGGCAGATCCAGGAGAGAGAGAGAGAGAGAGAGAGAGAGAGAGAGAGAGAGAGAGAGAGAGAGAGAGAGAGAGAGAGAGAGAGAGAGAGAGAGAGAGAGAGAGAGAGAGAGAGACCTGTAACGTGTCTAAGGACTTGGGGCAACATGAGAGGTTGCTGACCTGAAGGCTGAGAGAAGCATCCCATTTTGATAGTATCTCCTGAATCTTGAATGTTCTCCAGAAGTCCATCTATTAAAGTGGGTCCCCAGAGTGGAGTTATTTGGAGGTGAGCTTTAAAAGGCAGATGGCCTTAGGCCCACCTCCTCTCTGTCATTCTCTGCCTACTGTTCATGAGGTGAAAGGTTTGGACTGGGTTGACTGTAGGTCTCTGCTGCCCCACCCTAAAGCAGAGGGCCACCCAGTCACAGGCTACAGTCTCCACAACTGCCAGACGAAACCTTCCTTCCCTCTCATTTGATCAGCTCCGGTGTCTGTTAATACAGCAAAACTGATGGATTAGAGCCGTCTATGTTTTTTAATAGCCCGTTATATCTTTTGCTTCTCACTGTCTTGGTTGAAGTCTTACAATTTACAGAGCCCAGGTTTTGATGAACGGGACCATGGTGTGACACACTTGAAAGTCTAGGGGTTAAATCCGCATAGCAGCCTCCCTGTGACTCGGGCCTGCCTTCTCACACCGGGATTCTGTAATCTCTGGTACCTTCTGCCTTCCTGGGGTGGAAGTCCTGGGCTGCACCCTGGGGCTTCACACACAGCTTCCTTTCTTCCTGACTACACTAATTCCTTTCATACTGCAGGGAGAACTCCCCCGCTCCCCATGTTGCCTCTGCTGTGTCCAGTGGGTGTTTGAGGCAGCCAGTGTCTGTGAGGAGAAAGAAAACTTTGCCTGCATCCCCTGTGGCTCAGGGCTATGCATGAGTTGCTGTAAAATGTTAGCGTTTTTGCAAAATGAATACTTGGTGTCCAAGGGACAAGCAATTCTGATTTCACCTGAGTTTTCAAATAATAAAGTCAACGGAACATAAAGAAATTGCCTATCCACAATGACTTAAGCAGCCTTGGCACATCTGTTCACCCATACTCAGCCTCACTGGGAGCCTCTGAGGGATATTTTTTTTTTCTGGATTGTGGTCCCACAGATACATCTGCCAAGACTCTTGCATCTAATTCTAGAAATTACCAGGAGGGGAGAGTGCTAGCTGTCTTGAAGTTGAGCAGATGTCTTCCTGCAGTCAGTACCAAACCTATTATTGAATTTCTCTTATGGCCCTGGAGATCTCTACAGGATCCAGTTCAGTGGTTCCCAGGCAGCAGCCAGGCCTCTCCCTCAGTCATATCTTCCTTGACTCCGAGATGCTGCTTTCCCCACGGTTAGATGGGGTGTGTGTGAGAAAGCTCCGTCCTGTACTCTAGTGCCAAACATAGGTTCAGAAACCAGCGGATTGAGTGGGGGCCTCTGTTCCACTTGCCTGCATGAGTAGAGCTCAGGGACCTAGTTTTTTCCTCCCTGTGGATGAATGTCCTTACCCCCATCCTGAGTGGACCCCTGGGATCATTATATCAGCTCCCTAAATCTGCCCAGATGTAGCTGAGGCATATGGATGTGGACTCCTTTTCTAGAAGCCCCTGTTCTATCCCCCAGGTTCCCTTTACCTCAGGGACAGACATCTCTGTGACTGAAAGAGAGGCAGGGAGGGAGGGAGGGAGACAGACAGACAGGGAGGAAGGGGAGAGAGTGAGGGAGAGAGAGAAGATAAAATATACACATCATGGAGTGACAACATACTTAGTCTCATACAAGTCTAACCTTTTCAGTGGGAATTTATGTCATTTTAACTAAAAGAGCAAGCATACCAGTCAGTGGTGGCACACGCCGTACTCCCTGCACTCAGAGGCAGGCGGATCTCTGTGAGTTCGAGGCCAGCCTGGTCTACAAAACTACACAGAGAAACCCTGTCTTGAAGTGCTCTTCCACTTCTTGGGCCTTGTCACCGTGGGCAATGTGATTGGTGGTTTGTTCAAGTGTGTCCATTCTACCCCAGCTTTCTAGAGACACAGAGAACTAAATAGGCACTGGAATAATAAGGGGATATTAGTATGTGGTTATTAATATACTACATGCCACAGCAGATCTCTAAGCTTCATACCCAAGCTTGGGGAGGAGGAGAACCCTTGTGTTTCTCCATTGTATGCATTCATCCATTCGCTTGTTTGCTCGCTCATTCTTTGTGTCTGTGCAGCGTGGATGGAAGCCAAGGGTCATTACCACTTCCTCACCAGTCCTCACCCTATTTTCTGAGACAAGCTGTCTCACAGACACCTTGGACTTGCTGATTGTTCTAGACTGGCTTGTCAGTGAGCCCCGGGGATCCATCTCACCCAACTTATTTCATGTGGGTGCAAGGATCAGACTCTTGTCCACATGCTTGCACAGAAAGTGCTTCCCCAACAACGGGGCCATCTCCCCGGTCCTGCAATGTTTGCTTCTAACCAGCAGCGCTGTGTTTTGAACCTTTGGAGAGGAGCAATTAATTTCTTATCCTACTGGGAACGTTGTCATTTCCTGTGGTGTACTGTCTGGGATCAACAGCATAGGCCATAGAGCTGGGGATGGTTATTTGACCATTCTGGGCCTCAGCTTCTCATGTATGCCAAGGAGATAATGATGGTACTGACTGGCAGTTGTTAGGAGGATGGATATAGACCATGCTTATAAAGCCCTTAGCATCACTGTTGACAGCTGGTGACTGCTGGATGACTGTTAGTATTGTGGCATCTACTGCTGTTTCTTCCTCTTCTCCAGCTGTTACAACTTATGCTTAACAATGACATTCTAAACACCTGTCAGAATTTCTTTGTCAAAATATGAACTATAATCAAAACATAGAAACGTAGAGAATGAGATGAGGGAGTCGATAAACAAGTACATTTCAATAATGTACTCTCTTTCCATTTGGGTGGTGTAATGTTTGGTTTGACATTGTTGTGTGTATTCAATCAAGAAAAATAAGCCAAGACCTTTGAGAGAGAAAAAAAGACTTCTCCTGAATGTCCACTACCGACTGATACCATTCATTCAACCTTCCTTAGGACAATCATTTTATTGATTTATTTTCATTATAGGCTCACCTCTAACAATATTGTGAGAAAAAATTTTTTAGGGAAATAGAGGAGAACTTCTGTATTGTACAGCTTAAATATCAGCACTTCTGTATAATACAGTTTATAATTGTCAGGTTGCTACACAAATTTAATCACCTGAATTTGATGCACAAGTTTGTCAAGAACATGTATCTTAGCAGGGCTTGGAAGTCAAGGTGCAGGATTGCCCAGAGTTGAAAGCTAGACTGGGCTACTTAGTGAGCAACCTAAACTATGTAGTGAAGTGTTTTCCCAAAAAGACAAAAACTAGAAGAAAAGAAAAAGAATATGTACATCCTACCCAGGATTTGTGCTGAAAGAAACTTGACTCTAGGAACATAGCCAACTCCCTGAAGATTATTAATATTCAAAACATCCCAGCCTGGATTTCACATATAAAACTCTAAGCTAACTAAATAGGCATTTGTCATCCAAAATCCACGAGTGCATATTACACTTAGAAGTATTTTCAAATGCACACGGCTCACTCAGCTTCAGTTTTTAAATGTCCACAAGGAAATCATGGGAAGAAAGCTGTCCCAATTGTCAACTGAGGAATAATATTCATTTACTTGTCCATGCAAAGTAAGTGAGCTATCTGGAGCTTTCTTTAGGCATTTTCCACAGTGTTAGCTGTGGAAGTTATAGAAAGGTCATCTCTATTAGATGTCTGCTTTCTCTAAGTATCCATACACTTTCTACTCCCCCATTATTTTACCATTAGATTACAGTGACTGCATTTCAATTAGAATAGCTGCCTTTGCAGCTAGTCAATGGAGTTCAGCCTTCATTAGAGCCCAGCCCTCAGACCAGCGTCTAGTATTCAATGCAAGCAGAATATTATGGGCTGTTGCCCCTCTCTCCTTTTTTATTACACAAAGTTTGCTTACCAAGAAAACCATGTCTTCCATCCAGAAATTATTTCAGGTCTTACTGAAATAGCTCACAGTAGAAATTACATGTGCATTTTAGAAAGCAGTGCAACATGGGTGCCACACCTGAAACACTCCTGACAGTTTGGTTAGTGAGTAACTATCATATGAGCCACCAGTCAAACCTTTTGTCATGAAAGTTTCAGAGGACAAAAAGTTAGAGATGGTGTTGAGCATAGTGACCAAGTGCACTACCAAATACTCCCAGTTCCTAACTTGGTTTTTACTGTGTTTTGAAGCAAACCTCAGGGGTGACATTTCACCTTTATGCACTTCAAAAAGCATTGTTTTTCAAAATGTCATTTTCTTCTTGTATAACCATTCTATTGGTATTATAAAATTTGAAAACTTAATAGTAGTTTTTATAATGTAATATCCTAGTCATGTTTTACAAGTCCATAATTGGTCTGGAGATATGGGTCATTGGATAAAGGCACTTGCTGGCAAACCTAACGTCCTGAGTTTGATTCCCAGGACAGACACATAGTGGAAGGAGAAAACTCTCAAGAGCTGTCCTCTGTTCTCCACACATGAGGCACGGAATAGGTGTATACACACACACACACACACACACACACACACACAAAGAGAGACCATACATACACACACACACAGAAAAGAGACCATGCATACACATACATACATACACACCACACGCACACACACTCACACATACATACACACACACACAGAAAGAGAGACCATACATACACACACACACAGAAAAGAGACCATACATATACACCACACACACACACTCACACACACAGACACACAGAGAGACCATACATACACACACATACACCACACACACACACACAGAGAGAGAGAGAGAGAGAGAGAGAGAGAGAGAGAGAGAGAGAGAGAGAGAGAGAGAGAGAGAGAAATGAAATAAAACTTATAAATAAAGCCCATGGTTGTCCCCCAGATGCCGGTCTGTTTTCCTGAGACAGAGTCTCCTCCCTAGGTAGCCTAAGCTGGCCTTGAACGTGTGATCCTCTTGCCTCAGCCTCCTCAATGCGCACCATATCCAGCTCCAAGAGGGCTGCAGATTTTCCCTTTTTGCCCATGTTCAGAGATTTATCAAAAAATAGTCTGTTTTCTAGGCGGTGGTGGTGTACACCTTTAATCCCAGCATTTGGGAGGCAGAGATAGGTTGATCTCTGTAAGTTCAAGGCCAGTCTGGTCTACAAAGTGAGTTCTGGGATAGCCCCTAAAGCTACAGAGATATCCCATCTTGAAAAACCAAAACCAACCAACTAAACAAAATAGCCTGTTCCTATGAGCTGTCCACATTCTGTGTTTTTCCAGCTGCTAGCTCATGGTATCATTTAGCTAGTTTGTCTATTCACTGGTACTATCTATGAGTGAGAATTGGGTGGGATGCATGCATAGGACTGTTTCTTCCAGCAGACACACTGTGTCTGGGTGCCCCTCCTAGGAGGCCAGTGCCCACAGAATAGTGGGGATTATTCTCTTCTCTTTCTCATAAACTTTCTTTCCTGCCATCATTTCCTCCTGGATGTCCCCCAACATCCTAGTGCCCATTTTAATGAGTCCCTCAATTGCTAATTTCCTTAAATAATAAAACACAAATTTAGTACTCTATCATTTCATCCATATGTATCAACTAGAATTCTTCTGAGTTAAAATTTTTTAATGGGGAAGGGGAGATGGAGGTAGGAGAGAAAAGAGAGGAGGAGAGCATGAGGGATCAGGGAGGTCAAGTTGGGGGAAGAACAGAGAAGGAGAGCAAGGAAAGAGATTCTTTGATAGAGGGAGCCTTTACGGGCTTAACGAGAAACATGGAGCTAGGGAATTTCCCAGGAATCCACAAGGATGACTCCAACTAAAAATCTAATCAATAGTGGAGAAGCTACCTTAAATCCCCTTCCCCAATAATGAGATTGAAGACTACGTTAAATGCTATCATATATGAGAGCCTTCATCCAGTAGCTGATGGAAGCAGAAGCAGAGATTCACAGCTAAGCACTGAGCCGAACTCCTGGAATCCAGTTTCAGGGAGGGAGGAGTGATGAGCAAAGGGGTCAGGACCATGCTGGGGAAACCCACAGAAACAGCTGACCTGAGAAAGTGGGAGCTCACAGACTCCAGTCTGACAGCTGGGGAACCAGGCCCCCTAAACGTGGGTGTCAGTTGGGGGACTTGGGCAGTCTATGGGCCCACTGGCAATGGAACCAGTATTTATCCCTAGTGCACAAATGGACTTTGGGAGCCCATTCCCTTTAGAGGGAACCTCTCTCAGCCTAGATACGGGGGAGAGGGCCTAGGCCCTGCTCAAATGATGTGACAGACTTTGATGATTCTCCATGGGAGGCCTCACCCTCTCTGAGAGTGGATGGGGGGAGATGGGATGATGTGCGGACTGAGAGGACAGGAGGGAGAGGGAACTGGGATGGGTATGTAAATAAGATTGTTTTTAATTTAAATAAAATTAATAATTTTTTAAAAATTTCTTTCCCTAAATCAGTGGTTCTCAATCTCCCTAATGCTGTGGGGCCTCTTTAATACAGCTCCTCATGTTGTGGTAAGCCCCAATCATTAAATTATTTCATTGCTACTTTTCTTAACTGTAATTTTGCTACTGTTATGAATTATAATGTAAATACATGACACACGGGATATCTACTATGTCACTCTTGTGGGGGTCTTGACACACAGATTGGGAACCCTTGCCCTAAGGCAATCTGAACTGTTTTTATACAGACAGGGTGGGCAATATTCTTTGCTTCAATAATCAGATTTGCAGATTTAATAAATGCTCACAAGTCCTGCAACTCTTTTTTCACTCTTTCATTATCTTTATGATTTATCACATTTTTATATTTATCATATTGTGATATTTGCCATATATTTATCATTATCTTTATGAATGCATAGATATATATAGTCAATATATTTGACCCAATTTGCAGTCTTGATAACTTTCAACTTCTCAGATTCTCCCATCCATAAGCATGGCTTCCCTATCTTGGCTACTTTAGTAGTCTTGGACAATTTCAGGTTTTCTTCATAGCACAGTAACATAGTAGCATAGTAGAATGCTTTACAGACCCAAGCCCAGAGCCAACCATTTCCCCCAAAACTAAAGTTTCAGGGGCAAACACATGGATATTTCCTACAACTCTACTTTACTCATATCTGCACACAATCTGAGTTGAATTACATTGTCCGGTTGAAAGTAGGTATTATTTCCAAGCCTTAATGCCATGTGCATGCATTGCCCAAGTCATTTCAGTCAACAGAAGCAGCAGACAGACACTGCAAGATTTCCAAGGAGCTCTGAGCGCTTCCTCCTTTTCTGCAATATCCCCGTTAAATTCCTACAAGACCATTTTATTCCCAGTGAGCTGAGTAGAAGAACAGAAATCTAATTGTACGATCAGGTGCATGTAAACCTCAAGGCACCAAACGTGTTCTCTCACCATTACAAAAGCAGGTCAAGCTTTACAGAAATTTCACAAAACCCACCACACAGCATCCTGCAAATGATAATGACAGCCACTTAATTATGTTTCAGTTAAATAATTTAAAAGAAGTGTTCTGATCATAATTTAAATATTTTATTCCACGTGAAACAGAAAGAACAACCAGAGGCCTAGTATCTCAGCAAGGGCAAACATTTATTTATTCAGTCAATAAATATTTATATGCCTGGAAATCTATGGCACCTATTCTTAGTTCTTATAGCTGTGAGATTTAAAGTTAATTTCTAACATAGGTACTTTGGAGTTGGAGAGATGACTCAGCATCTAAGAGCTCTCTTGCTGTGCAATGATGAGGGCCAGAGTTAGGATTCAAGTACTCATGTAATAATTCAGTAACTGCAAATGCCTGTAGCTCTAGCTTCATGGGATCTGGTGGCGTCTTCTAGCTTACACACACACACACACACACACACACCCTTCTGCCACACATGCAGATATTCACAGACACTTACATAGACACATACACAAAGATTTTACAAGTTAGATAAAAAGTAATTAAATTATAGTTTTCTATAAGTAAAATGTGTATTCTCAAGCTGGGCACAGTGGTGTGTATCTGCCTCAGTACCTGGGAGACAGAAATAGGATCTGAGATGGAGGAAAAAGGTCATTGTCTTCATCCCTATAAGGAATTTGAGTCAAATGTGGGCTACATGAAAAGGGAATTTTTGGGGGGGGGATTGAAATGTAAATCAATTACAACCAGGCTATTTCCACACAGTCAATGGTATAATGATGGCGTCATGATATACACAAACAACACAGAAGGAAGGAATTGCCTGATTTCCCCAGCTGACAAAGCCCCAAAGCCCTTGGGTCTTTGCAAATGCTAGTCCCTTGCCTTCTACTGTGGTGTGGGTGCAGCTTTCAGGCCGTAAATCTGTGTCATGCCCTTTCGGCTGCCAGCATGTCATTGTCACTCTCCTCCACAGCTCCTGCCACCTCGCCGTCCAGCATGTCTTGTAGCAGAGTGAATTTGAGCCAGCAGCTGTGCTTTTCTCCAGACGACTCCGATGGCTGAAGACCCCAGAGACTTTCAGAAGGGAGACTTCCCCATTTGACTTTGTCTCTTTGTCAGTGAACACCTTGTCGCCAGAGCTGTGACTTTTCACTGCTGTTTTTTTTTCCTCAGATGTCCCTTGTAAGCCCACTTCTTTAACTTAAAGGCATATGTGGCATTAAAGAACCCTGCCCTGGCCAATGTGAGTCCTACGTTCCCTTTAAACTCCTCTCTCACTGTTTTGTGTGTTTCCAACAAAGTCCCTCACCTTGAATCTGTCACATTCCTCATCTCCAGATGACCTGCAAGGGGAACAATGACCCCAGTCCTTCCTCCCAGCTGGGGCCACATCTGTCTTCTCTATTACACCGCACTGTCAGAGACTGACGTGAGGTCAGGTTCAGCAGACTCACTTGTATACCAGCTGGAAGAGGCTCACATAAAATCAAGCAGAGAATCTAGACTCATTAGGAGAAGAAGCAGAGTAACTGAGGACTCAGAAGTCAGCAGCCCCATCTTAACCTTTACCAGGAAAAGACAAGCTGTGAAACACAACGGATGGCATCCATCAGAACCGGATTTGGTTCTTCCTGTAAATTTGCCTACAGATTCCTTCTGTCCCTAGGCATTCCCTTGCAACAATGTAGCAAAAAGTCAAACAGCCTGTGCTGCCGGTTCAAAATATCTAGATCTGGTCTATTACTAGTAAGCTTTGTGACTAAGGGCAAGCCACCCAACTTATTACTATCTATATTTTCTTATCAATCAGATGTAGGTGATGATAACATGTTATTCATAATAAAATAAAAGGCCTCAGCATCTTAGCCCATTTTCAGTCATCAATGAACATTACTTAGTTCGAGCCACACCCAGCCACTCCTGAGCAGAACCTAGGTATTTGGTTTGCCTTTGGCACATCTCCATCCCCCGTCACCACTCACCTCGCGAGGTGCAGGAGTCACTACATATTTTACTCCTCACAGAGCACCTGGAGGGACAGTTAAATCTCCAATGCAATTCAGAAGAGATCATGGCTTCCAAACATCTCTCAAGCACTTTCTTCAAATGGATACCTGTGCAGCTGCAAATCCGTCAAAGTCAGGTCATTTGTGGTCTCTTGGGAACTGCTCAGTCAAACATTCTTTTGACAAGAAAAGCACTTTTGTGGTTTGCTTTTTTTCCTGGAAGGGCACAGTTATTTGTGGGCTTAGAAACATACACGGATGCTGAAATGTATGGGCCGTTCCCTTTTAACAAGACACTGTAGCCCACTACATCTAGACCACAGGTTTCTCGTCTCTGAGGCTTCCATTTAACAACGCTCATAGCCTGAACACAAGCCAAATGCTTCCTGCCCCGTGTTTGTTGCAATAGTTATAACATTTTTGTAAGAATTGTAGGTGGGCCTTGCTAAATGCAAATTTTCCTCCAAATTCCTTCACCAACACCGAATGTGGAAAGGAATCAAGAGTTACCTTGCAAAAGCACTTTCATTTTCTGCTGTGAGAACCAGCCAGAGAAGTCTAAACCTATAAAAACATGCCTGAGGTTATTTTCTTGTAAATTATAATTAGATCCACATTTATGGTTCAATAGATCATGCAGCAAATTTCCCAGAAGCTTTAAGGGGAAAAATTAGGTGATAGCATTAAATGATTGAGGCAAAATAGACTTTTTCTACAGAGGGCATTAATTAATTCCAGTTCTCATGTTAAGGCATGCATTTTGTGTATATGTGATATGGAACCATACCCTTTTTGGCTAGCTATAAGCAATATATGGCAGATTCATTCATCAACTTGAAACTCTGTCTAGGTTACAGCAGACCAAATAAGAAGTTGTTGCTTTAGAAGCCAATGGAGTTCTTAAGAAGAGCAATGTGGTGTGTGTGTGTGTGTGTGTGTGTGTGTGTGTGTGTGTGTGTGTGTAGAGTGAGAAAAACACTGCTACAAGCCTTCTATTAGCATCCATTTGATGAAATTCGCTAGCATCTATCCTTCCATTTGACAGGCTTTCACCCTTAGGTCCTACAGTTTTACATTACAGAAAGAATATTTTTCACTTTTTTGTTTTGCTTTTTGTGGATGTGTGCACTGAGCATGTCTGCGATTATCTGTGTGTGCATGTTTGTAGGCTCATGCAGTGTTGTGGGTTGCCTTTCTGGATCACACTCCACATTTTTATTTTTGAGGTAGGGTCTCTCACTAAACAGGGGGCACATCTGTTCCAGCTAGTCCAACAGACAGGACCTACTGTCTGTGCTTCCAAAGTGCTGTGCTGGAAGACAGCTGTCACGTTTGATGTAGGTGCTGGGGAATTGAACTTTGGTCCTCCTGGTAAGCTCAGCCCCAGTTGACAGCCACTGACTACAGTCATTCTTTTTCTTGTCGTCACTGATATTATCAGGGGGCAGTTTGCTTATGCTTGTAGACAGGTTGTTCCTCTGTTGTCTCACACTGGCTTGTCATAGTAGCTATCACCAGTGTAGCACAGCATTTGTTCCTCAGATAGACTATAAGCCTGTGAAGGGACACTTTTTTGTTTGTTGTTTTGTTTTTCAAGACAGCATTCCTCTGTGTAGCCCTGACTGTCTGGAACTTGATCTGTAGATCAGGCTGACCTCAAACTCACAGATTCACCTACCTCGGAATCCTGAGTGCTGGGCTCAAAGGCTGTGCCACCACCGTCCCATTGAGGAGAGAACTTTTTTTTTTTCAGTTTAAATTTAGATAAGAAACAAGGTTGCTTCACAAGTCAGATCTAGGTCCGTCTCCCTTTCCCTACCCTCCTCCCGTACCCTCCCCCCAACCCCCCATTATCCCCTCATTTCCCCAGGGAGGGTGAGGCCCTCCATGGGGGTGTTCATAGTCTGTCATTTCATATAGGGCAGGGCCTAGACCCTTCCCCAAGAGTTCAGGGTGAGAGTGCACCTCACATTGTTGGATGGGAGTCCAAAGTCCGTGTGTATACTTGGGATGGGTACTGATCTGCTGCCCAAGGCTCAATAGATTACCTAGGCCTCCTCATTGACACTCAGATTCAGGGGGTCTTGATCAGTCCCATGCTGGATTCCCAGGCTGATGCCTGGGATTTAAGAGTTAACCTTTGTCAGGTCAGCTGTTTCTGGGGGGTTAAACCAGCCCAGTCTTAATCCTTTTGGTTATCAGTCCTCCCTCTCTGTTACTTAACCGAGGGAGTCTGCCTCTTCTTCGATCAGCCACTAAATGAAGTTTCTGTTTCCCAGACTCTCTGGCCATGGGATTGTAGGCTGGCACTCCCCAGATCTATATCTAAAATCAATATATGAGATAGTACATGCCATGTTTCTCTTTTTGTGACTGGATTACCTCACTCAGGATGGTTTCTTCTAGTGCCATCCATTTGCCTGCGAATCTCAGGATTCCATTGTTTTTTTCTGCTGAATAGTAGTCCATTGTGTAAATGTACTACATTTTCTCTATCCACTCTTCGGTTGAGGGACATCTAGGTTGCTTCCAAGTTCTGGCTATTACAAATAATGCTGCTATGAACATAGTGGAACAGACATCTTTGTTGTATGAATGGGCATCTTTTGGATATATGCCTAAGAGTGGAGTTGTTGGGTCTTGTGGTAGGTTTATTCCCATTTTTCTGAGGAATCTCCATACTGATTTCCAAAGTGGCTGAACCAGTTGGCACTCCCACCAGCAATGGAGGAGTGCCCCCCTTTCACCACATCCTCTCCAGCATAAATTGTCGTTGGTGTTTTTGATTTTAGCCATTCTGACAGGAGTGAGATGGTATCTCAGAGTCGTTTTTATTTGCATTTCCCGGATGGCTAAGGATGTTGAGCACTTTCTCAAGTGCCTCTCAGCCATTTTAGACTCCTCTATTGAAAACTCTCTATTTAGTTCTGCAGCCCACTTTTTAATTGGGTCCTTTGATGTTTTGGAGACTTGCTTCTTGAGTTCTTTGTAAATTTTGGAGATCAACCCTCTGTCAGATGTGGGATTAGTGAATATTTTTCCCATTCTGTGGACTGCCTTTTTGTCTTGCTGACTGTGTCCTTTGCCTTACAGAAGCTTCTCAGTTTCAGGAGGTCCCATTTATTAATTGTTGATCTCACTGTCTGTGCTAGTGGTGTTATGTTCAGGAAGCTGTCTCCTGTACCAATTCGTTCAAGAGTACCACCCACTTTCTCTTCTAAGAGGTTCAGTGTGGCTGGATTTATGTTGAGGTCTTTGATCCATTTGGACTTAAGTTTTGTGCATGGCGATAAGCATGGATCGATCCGCATTCTTCTACATGCCAGCCTCCAGTTATGCCAGCACTATTTGTTGAACATGCTTTCTTTATTCCATTGTATATTTTTAGCTTCTTTGTCAAAAATCAGAGAAACATCACCCTTTGCAATAGCCACAAACAACATAAAATACCTTGGGGTAACGCTAACCAAACAAGTGAAAGACCTGTATCACAAGAACTTTGAATCTTTAAAGAAAGAAATTAAAGAAGCCCTCAGAAAATGGAAAGATCTCCCATGCTCTTGGATAGGTAGGATCAATGTAGTAAAAATGACAATCCTGCCAAAAGCAATCTACAGATTCAATGCAATCCCCATTAAAATCCTAGCACAATTCTTCACAGACCTTGAAAGAACAATAATCAATTTTGTATGGAAAAACAAAAGACCCAGGATAGCCAAAACAACCCTGTTCAACAAGGCAACGTCCGGAGGCATCACCATCCCTGACCTCAAGCTCTATTATAGAGCTATAGTCTTGAAAACAGCTTGGTATTGGCACAAAAATAGACAGGTAGATCAATGGAATCAAATTGAAAACCCGGATATTAACCCACACACGTACAAACATCTGATCTTTGACAATGAGGAGAGAACTTTTAGAGCAGCGTTTTGCACAGTCCCTGCAACAAATGCAGATATAGCTTTGAATTTTTAGATTTCTTCATTTAATTTGGAGCGAGTGTTTATAGGGGCCACAAGCAAGAAAGAAGTGGATCCCAGGAGGTAAAGGCTACGAAGCCTTAAGGGTAAGGATGCTATAATGTGTGTGTATGAAGGTAGAGAAAAGAAACTATAGGCATAGAAAAGTCCAAGCAGGAATAGGGGTACAGGAGGTGGGGGGGATGGGGGGTGGCTCACCAGAACTAAAGATGAGTGAAAAGGCTAAATGAAACCGACTGTTTTATAAGTCAACTAAAATACATAATTAGAACAGATTATTAGAATGGAAGCACTCTACACGAGTGGAAAATGATGCTCCCAGTCGTCACAGTGCCGGTACAGAGATACCTGTCAATGAGATGTTGGCTGGGAGGCTCAGGAGATTCCCCAAAATAATACCAGCTGTAGCCAGGACTCTTGCTTGCCTGCCAGGATGCAACAGTGGACCCCATTGCTAAAGATTTAGTTACAGAACAGAGACATCAACTGAGAACTGAGTTGGAAGCCCCCCTCCTTGTGAGCTAGCATTCATGGAACTAAGAACTAAGAGGTACTGTCCAGGAGGCAAAGGGACGAAAAGGACAATGGTCTAATCTGCCTGTGGACCCGGCATGTGTTAGTTACTTTTCACCTCACTGTGATCAAAATTCCTAACAGATGCAACTTAACAGAGAAGAGGTCTTTTGGCCCGTGGTTTCAGAAGGTTCATTCATCATGAGCGGAAGACATGACATAGCAACTTAGTTCCTGGTAATGTAAGCTGATGGTGAAGGCTGCTCACGTGACACACCAAGACGCAGGAACCAGGGATTGAATATAACCTTCAATGTCCATCCCCACTGGCCTTCCTACTCCAGTTAGAGCCACACTTCCA